ATGTATGCATGAACAGTGGACATGGACAAAAAAGCTGGGGACAGGGCGGGGAGGGAGAGGGAGGGGTAATCAGTGGGGGTAAGAAGGAGAAACATCTCTAAGAAAAATAAATAAATACATAAATACATAAATATGTAAATACATAAATAAAATAAATGGTATTGTGAGAATTGGACAGCTGCATGCAAAAAAATGAAACTAGACCACCAACTTACACCATACACAGAAATAAACTCAAAATGAATAAAAGACTTAAATGTGACTCATGAATCCATAAAAATTCTAGAAGAGAATATAGGCAACAAAATTTTGGACATCATATGCAACAGAATTTTCTCTGTTATATCACCTAAAGCAACAGAAACAAAGGGAAAAAATGAACATATCGGACTACATCAAACTAAAGAGCTTCTGCACAGCAAAAGAAACAACCAGCAAAATGGAAAGGCAGCCCTAGCCAGTTTGGATCAGCGGTTAGAGCGTCGGCCTGCTGTCCAGAGAGACCCGGGTTAGGTTTCCGCTAGGGGCGCGTACCTCAGTTGCAGTTTGTCACCAGCCCTGGTTGGTCGTGCCAGTGGCAGCCACTCAATGTGTCCCTTTCACATCGATGTTTCTCTCTCTCTCTCTGTTCCTCTCTCTCCCTCCCACTCTATCTGAACAAAAAATGGAAAAATGTCCTTCGGTGAGGATAAAAAAAATAAATGGAAAGGCAACCCACTGTATGGGAGAGCATCATTGCCAGTGATACATCAGGTAAGGGGTTAATTTCCAAAATATATGGAGTGCTCATACAAGTCAACAAAAGGAAGACAAAGAACCCAATTAAAAAATGGGCAGTGGAACTAGACACCTCTCCAAACAGGACACACAAATGGCCAAGAGACATATGAAGAAATGCTCAATATCACGAATCATTAGAGAGATGCAAATTAAAACAACAATGTGGTATCACCTCAACCTGTCAGAGTGGCCGCCATCAACAAATCATCAAACAACAAGTGTTGGTGAGGGTGTGGAGAAAAGGGGACTCTAGTGCAGTGCTGGTGGGGATGCAGACTGGTGCAACCACTATGGAAAACAATATGGTGTTACCTCAAAAAATTAAAAATTGAACTTCCATTTGACCCAGTGATCCCACTTCTAGGAATATACCCTAAGAAGCCTGAAACACCAATCAGAAAAAATACCTGTACCCCCATGTTTGTAGCAGCACTATTTACAATAGCTAAGATCTGGAAACAGCCCAAATGTTCATCAGTAGACGAATGGATAAAAAAGGAGTGGTACATATACACAATGGAGTACTATGCAGCTGTAAGAAAGAAAGATCTCTTATCCTTTGTGACGACATGCAGGGACCTGGAGAGTATTATCCTAAGCGAAACAAGCCAAGCAGAGAAAGACAAATATCACATGATCTCACTTATTTGTGGCATATAATGAACATAACAGTCTAAGGAACATTGTAGAGCCAGAGACGTGGAAGTAGGGTACAGACTGACAACCCTTAGAAGAGGGGGTGGCAGTGGAGGGAAGAGATAAACCACAGAACTTATATGCATGTAATCATAACCAATGAACATAGACAGCAAAGCTGGCGATGGTGTGGGGGTCATGGGGAGGAGGGTGTCAATGGAGGAAAAAGGAGAAACATCTGTAACAAAAAAAAATGAAATTGCCTTAATATGGTCCATGTCTGTAATTAGCTACTGTAAATTGAATGGGTGTATATATGATTCTAAATGTGATGTCCTTGGAGGTAAGGAACAGACTAACAAAACTTAGAGGGAATGGGGGACAGGAAGAGATAAACCAAAGAATTTATATACATATGCATAACCAATGGACACAGACAACAGTGTGGTGAAGATGGGGGGGGTCAGGGGCAGGGAGGAGAATGTCAGTGGGGGTGGGGAGCACATCTGTAATACTTTCAACTATAAAGGTAAATTTAAAATTTTTTTAATTAAAAATAATAATTGCTAAGACAGTAAAGTTTAAAAGTTCTCACCGCAAGAAAAAATTTCTTTAACCACATATGCTGATAGATGTTAACTAGACTTATTGTGGTTACCTTTTTGCAATATATAGAAATGTTGTACACCTGAAACTAATATAATGTATGTCAATTATACCTCAATTTAATAAATACAGAAATAAATGTGATGTCTTTGTATGTATATGCATAATATTTAGATTACTTATAAAATATTTCTAAGTGAAACTTTTCACCATTGTATAGCCAAATCAATGTATATATGGAAAGTAACAAATTCTCTAATTTCTGTGGTATCTATAACTTACTAGATTCCTCTGAATGAGGATTAGAGGAGGGTTTTTTCCAAACTTTTACATGTAGAAGTATCATAAATATGCCATACACTTAAAGTTAATGGATTTTATTGAAGAATTTCAGTATGAATCCTAGTGTTGGATTTCAAGCTACTTATAGTTACTGTGTCTGAGCAGATTGGTGGCATGCCCCAAGCCTTTAGGAGCAAGTGTAGAAATGCCATCAAGTAGTAGTTTAATTGATTGCAAGGCATGAATTCAATCATGGTGAAAATTGCAAACTATTTTAACCTTTTTGCCAGCATATTTTATATATTACTTTATGTTGCCTTGCTCCTCAATCAAAGGAGTTTATTTATGATGGATTAGTTGTACCTTGCCCTCTCTCCAGCTCTAGTCCCCCATTTTCAAGTACTTAGATAATTCTGTCTCACTAAATCATTTACCACTCTGTGCTTCAGTGTACTCAATATTTTAGCATTAGACAGTGAGCTTCTTGAGGGACTTTGTCTTAATCATTGTTATGTCCAGTGTCTTATCATATGCCTGGCACATAAAAGAATGCTCAATAAATGTTTGAACAAACAATGAAAAAGAAATAGTAGCTATCATTGCTATAGTTGTTGTTGTATGTATAGGAGAGTTTGATTTTTTTAAATCTGAAAATATACAAACATCAAGTCTAATAGTGCTTATGTTAAAATTAGGGAAGCTGAGCTTCAGAGAGACTTAACTTGACCAAAGTCTCGGAATGAAGTAAATGCAGAACCAGGTCTGTCTCCAGGCTTCCTGTCTCCCACTTCAGTGCTCTTCTTGCTCAACAGGGCTACTGAGCCCACTATAGGACTGGATGTCTTCACCAGAGAAATGCTATACATGCTCCTCTCTGTACTTATTTATCTTCAGATCGAGGAGGATCTAACAAGAGGCAAGAGGAAAGGAGGCAGTTTAAAACGTACAAATCCACCAGGCCAGGGGGAAATTGGCATCAGCCAAGGGGGGCATGGGCTTTCAGGTCTTCATCATTGAAAGGAAAAAATGTGTGTGTGTGTGTGTGTGTGTGTGTGTGTGTGTGTGTGTAGATGTATGGTGGTAGTGGCAGTAAGGTATTGGTTGGAAAATACAAAAAGATGGTACTCCAAATTTTAGGGTTCCCTGAGTGAGGACCCAAGGGGAAAGAATGACTAGAAGTTCCAGAGAGGTGACCTGAATGAAATAACCAAAAAGCAAGGGACAACAAGACAAGGGAGATTTAATCTGGGAAGCAGAGGGGTTTGATAGAATTCCATGTGATAATGACAAGGCCTAAAATGTTGAATCTCCTCTTAGCCCTTGCAGAGTCTCCACTCATGTGTATGTAACCATCCCTTGGCAAGCTTATATAGAGGAAATAATGTCTCTCTGTGGAGTCTCACTCTACCTCGTTGCAAAGCTCACCCCTCCTCCAACTAAGGCCTCTCTTATTCCTCTAATTAAAAAGATAGTTGAGATTATATGTTACTTAGAAGTCAGTATGAATTTGTTGAATATATTTCTCCTTTTCAACATGTTTATATTTTCAAACCTTACTAGACTGTGGGCAGTGCCAAACCTAGACATACCCCCATATTTGGTGGACTTACAGTCACTTTGGGGCCTATGAAGATAAGCAATTAAGGTTCCTGAGAGGCTTAATATCATTCTCTTGAAGGTCAGGGATTTGTATCAATTAAAAATCATTGAAAGTGATTTCAACCTAATAGACTTAACATTTCTTTAAAAAATAAATAAAGATTTCTTATAGGCACTAATGGGAACCCTTACCACCAAAGACATGGAGCTATACGACCAAGTGGTTTATATAGGGTATTATACTAAGTGAAGTAAGTCAGACAGAAAAACAAATACCATATGATTTCACTTATATGTGGAATCTAAAGAACAAAATAATCAAACAAACAAAACAGAAACAGACTCATAGACACAGAGAACAAATGGTTACCAGAGGAGAGGGAGGTTGAGGGACTGGGTGAAAAAAGTGATTAAGAAGTACAAATTGGTAGTTACAAAATAGTCATAGGAATAAAAAGTGCCACATAGGGAATATAGTCAATTATATTTTAATAACTATGTATGGTGCCAAGTGGGTACTGAGAATATTGGGGACACAATTTGTAAAGTATATGATTGTCTAACCACTATGCTGTACACCTGAAATTAATACAAAACAATATTAAATGTAAACTAAAATTGAAGAATACTTTTATATGAGATATGGGGGTATATTTCCCCATGACAGCTTTATCCAGCTGAGCAGGCAGGAGTTAACAGTGTGATGCTGAATATCACATTGGGCAGCAAAGTTGATCTCTTCTCCCCAGGCCCACCAGAAATGAAACACCCCCATACTGGAGGGAGAAGACTCATCCAAAAGTTTACCTCCCAAACTCTAAGTCTTGTGGAGGAAACCCAAAATAAACACATCCTGGGAGATTGAAGACCAGGGAGGCCTGTTGGCTCCAGAGAAAGGTCAATACCCTAACAGGGGGAGAAATTGCTTTGCTCACCATCAAACCTCCAACTTCAGGCAAGGGAGGGAGGGGGGTGTTCATGTGACCTGTGGTAAAATAGAGAAGTAAGAGAAATGTGAGATGGGACTGGAAGTCCAAATGAGAGATATAGGGAAGGAAGGGAAGTGAGCAGGCACAGACACTGACAACCACCAGGAGTTCAAGCCTCTTTGACAGCAGGAGGCTGAAAGAAGGACAGAAGTGGTTCTGGCTATGATGAGGCTCTTACTGGGCCTGCTGCTCCTGGGCCACCTAATGGTGGTCACCCATGGTAAGACTGCAAATCTTGGCCTGGATGCCACTGCTGGCACAGGCAAAAGCCTCAGGGGCGAGGAGTGGGAATGAATGTCTACTGAGCAGGTGAGTTTCTCAGCAAGTACTGCAGACTCAGCTTTGGGAAGAAGAAAGTGAGGTTGTTAAAGGCTGGCGAAGAAGCCAGGAGGTAAGTTTGCATAGAAATTGAAAAGGATCCTCTCTTGGAAAATACCCGCATAATTTTATAATACTTGTTTTTATCTCTGGGATATTCAGAAGGTGCCCAATGCTACCCAAATCCCTCTTCCATCTGCTGTCTTTCAACTGAATTTCTACCATTATAACTTCAGGCTTTTATCCCTGTTAATACATATATCTCCCAAAGAAGGAATTTTTTTGAAAAACTAGATGGGACCTTAAAAGTAACCTTGATCCACCCTTCAGTTATTTGCTCACATACTTCCAGTGATTGCTAGTTCACTACTTTTCCAGGCCACCTAGTTTCTCCAGGGGCATCTGCAACTATAGAAAGTTCTTCCTCAAGTGGAACTAAATTCACTTCTTTGTGGCTTCTATCCAAAGTTCCCGGCTCTGTTTCTTGGAGACACACAGATCATATCTGCTCCCTCTATACTGTGACAGCCCTTCACATTTCTGAGAACAGACATGTCCTCTTGATTCATTTCTTCTTCAATCTAAACAGCCCCAGATCTTTCAACTGGTCTTCACAGACTTAGTTTCTTACCACCTTCTGAGGTAACTCACTTCCCTATGGACATGGCCCAGTTTGTCCACAGTAACTGTAGGAGATTAATGTTGGACACATATTCTAAAAGAGGTCTGACTATTCCATAGTAACATTATTTCCTTGGGTCTTCCTCCATATTCATTTATATCCCTGAGAACGAAATACCCTTTTAAGATACTAAGACTGAATAATAGCTAAATGCAACCCATAATAGGTCAAAGGGGTTCTGCACCCCTGCTTGTTCCATATTCTTAAAAGGAAAGACTGGATGGTGTTAGCTTGGTATCTTTTGCATGGTCAGAAAGAATCCAGCTTACCATTGCTGACTCAGCTTAGGCTATCCTATCCTGGGGCTCTGTGATCCATCAAATTCTAGAACTTCAAGCTAGAATTAAGTCACCTAAAAGGGAAAAGCATTAGTGGCAGAATTAATGCTCTTAAAAATAGTATTCTTTTTAGAACAAAAATGTATTCATTTTCTAACACATTTTAGAATACACTTCCCTACCTTTCTTCAAATATGTTGATTTGAGGTGGGACTTATAGAGGCAGGGTTGCGGCTCACAGAAATATTTTATAAATGTTAATTGTAAATCATATGTCGGCATGCACGTGAGAGTTCATATGTTTATAGTGTCATCCCTAGACTCAGATCCTCCAAACCTGGAAGCAGGGCTTTCATTTCAGTGGAGGGTCTTACACCATAGACCTGAGATTCAGGACATACTGAATGGCTAATAACACCTTCCCTCTCCCTGGATCTTAGTGTCCTCAGTTCATCTGTACAGTGAGGAGATCAGCTTGGCTGGCCTCAAAGGACCCTCCCAGCTGGACAGCTCTTTAAGACTGTGGCTTTGCTTCTAAAAAGCCTGTAGGGGCCTGAATCAGCTGTTAAGTCTAAGACACATGTTGAAATAATCATAATAAAAATAAATCCTAACATTTGCATTTTATAAACATTCTAACATTTTATAAACATCTATTATCTAAGTTAATCCTCTATCTAGAAGGCAGCCCAAAAGAGGGAGAGTGGCCAGACACAGGAATGTGAGGTCATGGGAAGATCTCACCCTCGGTGTAATGGTGGGAGGAAAAATATTTAAAAAGAAACCTACACTGAATTCTGTAAAGGGTTCCACACCCAAAAAACTAGGTCTTTACTTTGTTTAAGACCATTACATAGGCCCCAGACTTTTGCTTTCATAAGTCCAGTTCCTGAACTAGAATGAGCCCCAGTACTGTTCCCTCTTTCTCAACTTAAACCCTTTTCCAACAAAGCCTTTTAAGTCAATTCCCAGCCCTGGTCTTTCTCTTGAGGGGATAATATTTTAATAAAATTTAATTATTTCCTAAGAGAAAAGAGCAAGGCTCTAAAGTTCTAGGAAAGGCTTTTTAGAAAGTAGCCAGCAGATGAGAGAATTTTTTTTTCCAGACAGTCAAGGGATATTATCTAGCCCTAGGATAGCATCTCTTTAAACCACGTCAAGTAGGCCTAGGTAAGGGGGTTGCTGGCTTCAGCCACAACAGAAGCCAGAAACCCTTTAATACGTTTAATAAGTTAAGAAGGTAAGAAGACAGTATAGCTTCTGAAGGCTTTTATTCTAGGCCTTCAAGCCCAGCTCTGCTCCTGTTATCTGTGTAAGTTTGGATAAGAATCTTTCTCTCTCTGGGTCTCAACCTTGCCCATATGTACCATGATGAAATGTGACTAAATGGTTTCTAAAAGCCCAGTGGTTTTCAACCTTTCTGATGCCACAACCCTTTAATACAGTTCCTCATGTTGTGGTGACCCCCAACCATAAAATTAGTTTTGTTGCTACTTCATAACTGTAATTTTGCTACTGTTATGAATCGCCATTGGAAATATGTGTTTTCCAATGGTCTTAGGTGACCCCTGTGAAAGGGTCATTTGACCCCCAAAGGGGTAGCAACCCACAGGTTGAGAACCGCTGATCTATGCCATTCTAGAAATTTCTGGCCCTGGCCAGTTTGGCTCAGCGGCTAGAGCATCATCCTGTGGACCAGAGAGTCCTGGGTTCGGTTCCCACTAAGGGCACGTATCTCGGTTGCATTTTGTCCCCAGTCCCGGTTGGGGTTGTGTGGGTGTCAACCACTCGATGTATCTCTCTCACATCAATGTTTCTCTCTCTCTCTCTTCCTCCCTCTTTCCCTCCTTCTCAATCTGAAGATAATTTTTAAAAAAATGTCCTCGGGTGAGGATAAAAAAAATAATAATAATAAAAATTTCTGAAATACCATCTTGCCCGGTCCCTCAAGACCAGTTGTACCAAGTACCTAACCATTTGGTGGTTTTCATGGATCCATAATGGGCAGTGCATCCCCTCAGTAGTTGAGGCTTTCCTGAAATAGATTTTCCCTACCCAATCTTCCAGGAAAGTCAAAAGTATTGCTTAATTTGTTCAACATTTCACAATGACTGCCATACTAGCTGTTTTTGGAGGTACAAGCTACAGTGTGCTCTTTGGCTGCCCTACAACCCAGGGATGGCCTATTACCTGCCCATAACTTGGTAGGTTCCATCAGGCTGGGAAAGGTAACTTTCTTACCTGCTCATGTCTTAACTTCTCCTTCAGGTCATTATTAAAGCTGACAATGATCCAATCTAATTAATCTATCCACCTTGGGGAAAACATAGTGAAGACTTCTATAGGATAAGATGGATCAAGACAAATATGAGAAGTTTCTTTTGAGGCATGGTACAAGAATGGCATTTATCCAACACCTACTGAATGACAACCACTATGCTAGGTTCTTTCACACTTATGAATTCATTTTATATTCACAATAATCCTCCATGTAAGGTTGATTATCACCTCCATTTTATTGACAATGACCTAGAACTCAGACAGGTTTAGCAATTTGCCCAAGGTCACACAGAAAGATATATGGTAGATCAGACCTTGGATTTATATTGGTGTTATTATTCTTATTCAGCATGCAGTCTTTCACTACCCTCCTGATTTCTCTAGGTGCTCCTACTCAACATTTCTTTAGATTATCTGAGTACCACAAGGAATCCTGGAAGGCATAAGTCAGTGCTATTGAGGTTACGTTCAATTTGGAGATCAGAGTACATGAGGAATAGTATAATGCTACCTTTCTTTTTTTTTTTTTTTTAGTATGTTTTCATTGAGTTTTTTTTTAGAGAGAGAGAAAGAGAGAGAGATTGAAACATCAATGAGAGAGACACATTGGTCAGCTGCCTTCTACACAACCCTTACTGGGGATTGAGCCTGCAACACAAGCATGTGCCCTGACCAGGAATTGAACTGGCAACCTCTTGGTGCCTCGGACAATCCTCAACCAACTGAGCCATACTGGCCAGGCAAATGTTACCTTTCTTGTGATGCCCTGTGCCTACCATATACTCTCTCTTTATGGTGCTAGTGAAGAAGTAGGGAGAAGAGGAGAAAAGAACAAGAAAAATGAGAATGAAGAAGAAAAAGATGAAATGATGGGTGGAAGACAGGGGAAGAACAAAAGTAAAAATATAATAATAATAAAACATGTGATTATTAGAAATCTGGTTACTAACTCTGTCCCATAAACCTATTCTGAGGTGGAAGAGTCATGTTTGACCTAATTCTAGAAGTGACTTTCAGGATTGGGAAATTGGGACTGGCTGTCCATGTTTTTGACAGACCAGAGTGAGCTATGTGAGAATCCCCAGCAAGTTTCCAGAGAGGGAATGTGAGCCTGGCCTTGCAGTTCCCCCAAGGTTAGAAGGAAGATATACATATGCATAGACAAAGGCATTTTTAGCTGCTCCAGATGTCCTCACAGCAGAATGCTGTTTTGGTCCCCAGGAGGAGAGTGTGAGAATGCTTTCAAGAAAAAGGGAGGGAGATTTTGAAGGGCCAGAGGAAGATTAGTGGAAAAGAGTCACCCTAGCTCCCAGGTGGGTATGCCATCTATGTCTGCATTCTTCCTCTGTCACCCATCTTCAGGCAATCCCATCCTTGAAGCACCTGAGACTGTAACAGGGCCTTGGAAAGGAGATGTGAATATTCCTTGCACCTATAGTCCTCTGCAAGGCTACACCCAAGTCTTCGTGAGGTGGCTGGTAGAACGTGGCTCAGACCCAGTCACCATCTTCCTACGTGACTCCTCTGGAGATCATATTCAGCAAGCAAAGTACCGGGGCCGCATACACATTAACCATGAGGTTCTAGGGGATGTGTCCCTCCAACTGAAGACCCTGGAAATGGATGACAGGAGCCACTATACTTGTGAAGTCACTTGGCAGACCCTTGATGGCAACCAACTGGTGAGAGATGAGATCATCGAGCTCCGTGTCCAGAAACGTGAGTCACTGTGGGGTTAGAAAAGCACTGATAGGCAAAGAACCGATCGAGGACTATAATCCTAGAAAACCCTGAGAAACCCGGAGACATTTGTGCTAATCAGAGGAAATTGACAGGCGGAGTATCTTCAGGGCCATCACTTTCATGGCATGATTTAAAAATTGTTGTGAAGGGTCCTTGGCCTTCAAATCTCTGCCCCTTCAGGTGTCCTAGAAATTCTAGCATCCAAAGCCTTGTTGTCATCCTTGGGCTATGAGTCTTAAAACTCATAAAAATGAGTATATCTTATCAGGATATTGGAGAGAATTTGTGCTGACAGAGAAGCTCTGGGGAAAGAGATGCAGGCCTCAGCCAAGACGAGTTTTATTGGCTTGACAATTTTACAAATATCTACCCCTGTAATCCAATACTCGTAAATAATCTCAAAACTCTACTTGAGTTTTAAAAAACAATATTATCTTTTTACAGTCAGTTGATTTTGTAACACCAGGTAATCCAAAACCCAGATAATACAAAACAGAACTTAATCTTCTAAAGGAAGCTATTTTTATTTACATCTCCTATTTGCTTCTTCCCTCCAAAGTCAGAAGCCCCCTTTAGTTCCCTTTGCAGATATATACATACCCCTATACCCAGAAAAGATGATTCAGCATTGTATTCCCATATCCTTGTAACTTACTAGAGTCTCCTCTCTTGTCTTCCCTTTGTAGTCCCTGTTTCCAAGCCCACAGTGACGACTGGCGGTGGCTATGGCTTCACAGTGCTGCAGGGAATGAGGACTAGCCTTCAATGCCAGGCTCATGGTTCTCCTCCCATCAGTTATGTTTGGTACAAGGAACAGACTGACAACCCAGAACCCATCAAAGTAGCAACCTTGAGTACCTTACTCTTCAAGCCTGCAGTGCTGGCTGACACAGGCTCCTATTTCTGTACTGCTAAGGGCCGGGTAGGCTATGAACAGCGCAGTGATATTGTGAAGTTTGTGGTCAAAGGTGAGCAACCCTCTCTCCTGGTGAGCATCTCCATAGACAACCTGATTCCAGATATACCACAGTAGAGTGCCTTTATTCCAGAGAAGAGAGATTGGTGTGTGTGTGTGTGTGTGTGTGTGTGTGTGTGTGTGTGTGTATTGAAGCTGGAGGGGTACTGGGTTCTAAAATCACAAAGAAAGTAAAATTCTGGGCTATGGAAACTAGAGCTGGAGATGATGCCTGTCATATTGTAGGTTAAGTAGATAAACATGGTAAAAGGAAACGTGACCTTTACTAGGTACATAGTTTCTTTCAATTTCCCTCACTTTTTCTTAAAGCCAACTATAATTTCTAGTTGAGGTGTCAATGAAGACTGACTCTGGTTAATCAATGTCTGGCTATTTCATATAGCATTATCTTGGGAGCACTACAAACTGTGTACATAAAGACTGTAGGCAGGGGTTTAAATGAACAGCCCAGCAGTGATATGCCTAAATGAATCTTGCTGCCTTCTAACAAATCTCCTTGAAAGGGAAAACACGTATCCCCACAAGCCTGCCATCACTCAAAACAATGGGAACAAGCTGCTTTGGGGAATTATCCTCAGAACCACCTGAAAATGACTATCCTCTGAGGATAGCTCTGCATAAAAAAAGTCAGGAAATTGACTCTCATACATTATGTTAGGAGACTGATGTTAGTTTGAGACTCCTGTGTTTGACTGAAGAGATTTGTTTCCCAAGTTGAGTTGTAGTGACAATGTGCATGCTGTAGGTTTTGGTCGGAAGAAGGACTGTCTCTCTCTCTGAGATAATTATATGAATACTGGCCCAGTAGTCTTGAGAGTTTACAATCTGGTGGTCAAGTAGATAGAGAGAGCAGGGAATGTCCAGAAAGTCCAAGAATGTGTACTTCATAGAGATACAAATTGAACATTTTCACCTTTCTGTAAGTTAGTTTCTAGCCCATACTCACAGCCAATCAATTCGTCTACTTCTTTTGTTTTGTTTTTTTTGTTGTTGTTGTTGTTGTTTTATCCTCACCCGAGGACATTTTTTTTCCATTTTTTGTTCAGATAGAGTGGGAGGGAAAGAGAGAAACATCAATGTGAAAGGGACACAGCAAGTGGCTGCCTCCTGCACGACCCAACCAGGGCTGGGGACAAACTGCAGCCGTGGCACGTGCCCTTAGCGGGAACCGAACCCGGGTATCTCTGGACCGCAGGCCGACGTTCTAACTGCTGAGCCAAACCGGCCAGGGCAATTCATCTATTTCTTACCACAGTTCGTGCTTACAGGCAACAAAGCAATGCTCACGATTGCCCCTACTGACAGATAAGGAAACTGAGTCAGAGAAATTACTCTCAACCTTCCACCATTTCTGTTCTCTGAACCAAACTTCTCTCTCTAGGATTTTATTTTATTTTTACCTGCCTCCTTCTCCACTTAAATCTTGTCCCATGAGTCTGGTCTCCTGTTTCATGTCTGCCCTACATAGTTCTCAGCCTCTCATCTCTGCCTCACCTACTGTATTGTTTTTCAGTTCTGGAATAGCTCTACAGACCATGTCTTTGCTAATGATCTTGGACTGCTAAGCTCTACCCACAAAAATACAGATATGCATTGCCCACAAGTTAGTTTTGCTCTGTGACATCAGCTTCTTGTCCCGATGTTGTATGCCAATAAATTTGTTCATCTTTGCCCTACTCCTAATTGCAGTTATTCATCTTCTTATCTAAGAAGATCAAGAACCCCCTCAGATGTGAATTCTATCAACCACCTTCTCTACCTTGACATTTCCCTACCCATTACCTCTGGGCTTAAAAGACATGCCTTTCTTGTCTCCACAGCAAACTTTCTACCTGAGGTCTTAACCTCAGCTACTACAACTCCCTGTTCCACCCATTATCCTCTACCTAACCCTAATGTGTGTGTGTGTGTGTGTGTGTGTGTGTGTGTGTGTGAAAGCCTAAGATATATATGTAAATAACATATATATGATTATTTTACATTCAATATTATTTGTATTAGTTTCAGATGAACAGCATAATGGTTAAACAATCACATACTTTACAAAGTGATCCCCTGAATATTTCAAGTACCCTCCTAGCACCATACATAAATATTATAATATTATTGATTATATTTCTTATGCTATACTTTACATTTCCATGACTATTTTGTATCTACTTCTTAATCCCATGACTATTTTGTATCTACTTCTTAATCCCTTCACCTTTTTTTAATCAAGCCCACCAAATCTCCTACCTTCTGGCAACCATCAGTCTGTCCTCTGTATCTATAATACTTGTTTTTATCTATTGTGTTTGTTTATCTATTTAGTTCTTTAAATTAAACATATAAGTGAGCCCTGGCCAGTTTTGCTCAGTGGTTAGAGCGTCAGCCTGCGGTCCGGAGAGACCTGGGTTCGGTTCCCGCTAAGGGCACGTACCTCGGTTGCAGTTTGTCCTCAGCCCTGGTTGGGTCATGACGGTGGCAACCACTCAATGTGTCCCTTTCACATCGATGTTTCTCTCTCTCTCTCTCTCTCTCTCTCTCTCTCCCTCCCTCCCTCCACTCTATCTGAACAAAAAATGGAAAAATGGCCCTGGCCGGTTTGGCTCAGCAGTTAGAGCGTCGGCCTGCGGTCCAGAGAGACCCGGGTCCGGTTCCCGCTAAGGGCGCGTACCTCGGTTGCAGTTTGTCCCCGGCCCTGGTTGGGTTGTGTGGGTGGCAACCACTCGATGTGTCCCTTTCACATCGATGTTTCTCTCTCTCTCTCTCTCCCTCCCACTCTATCTGAACAAAATATCAAAAAAAAAAAAAAAGTCCTCGGGTGAGGATAAAAAAAAAAAATGGAAAAATGTCCTCTGGTGAGGATAAAAAAAAAAACCATATAAGTGAAATGATATGGTATTTGTCTTCACTTAGCATAACACCCTCTGGGTCTATCCATGCTGTCATAAATCGTAAGATTTCATTCTTTTATATGGCTGAGTAAATATTTCATTATATACATGTACCACCACTTTCTTATCTATTTACCTATTGATGGACATTTCGGTCACTTCCATATCTTGGTTATTTTAAATAATGCTTCAGTAAACATAGGGGTGAATGTGTACTTTCAAATTAGTGTTTTGAGTTTCTTCGGTTATATAGCCAGAGGTAGAATTGCTAGGTCATAAGACAGTTCTATTTTTATTTTATTTATTTATTTATTTATTTATTTATTTTTAAATTCTCATCTAAGATATTTTTCCATTTATCTTTAGATAAAGTGGGAGGGGGAGAGAGAGAGAGAGAAACATCAATGTGAGAGAGACACATCAACTGGTTGCTGCCCACACAACCTCTACCAAGGCTGGGGACTGAACCGCAACCAAGGAACATGCCCTTGACCAGAATCAAACCCGCAACTCTTTGGTCCGCAGGCTGATGCTCTAACCACTGAGTAAACTGGCTAGGGCTATGATTATTTTTTTGAGGAACTTCCATATTCTCCATAGTGGCTGAACCAATCTGCATTTCCACCAACAGTGTATGAGGGTTCTTGTTTCTCCACATCCTCAGCAACACTTCTTGTTTATTGATTTATTGATGATAGCCATTCTGACAGATATGAGGTGATATCTCATCAAGGATTTTTAAATTTTATTTTCTTAGAGAGAGAGGTAGGGACACACAGAGAGAGAGAGAAACATTGATTTTTTGTTCCACTTATTTATACATTCATTGGTTAATTCTTGTATGTGCCCTGACTGGGGATTGACCCGACAACCTTGGCGTACTGGGAGACGCTCTAACCAACCGAGCCACCCTGCCAGGGCTTTGGTTTTAATTTGTATTTCCCTGATAATTAGTGATGTTGAGCATATTTTCATATATCTATTTACCATTTGTATGTGTCTATTCAAGTCCTTTGCCCATTTTCTAAAAAATTTTTCTTCGTTGATTTTAAAGAAAGAGGAAGGGAGAGGGAGAGAGAGATTGAAACATCGATGAGAGATTGGCCACCTCCTGCATGTCCCACACTGGGGAATCGAACCAGCAACCTCTTGGTGCATGGGTCGACACTCAACCACTGAGCCACAACAGCCGAGCCTTTGCCCATTTTTTAACTGTATTGTTTGTTTTATTTTTGGCTTTGAGTTGTATACATTTTTTGTATTAACCCCTCATCAGATGTATCATTGGCTCATGTCTTCTCCTATTTGGTAGATTATCGCTTCCTTTTACTGATGGTTTATTTTGCTGTAAAAATTTTGTTTGATATACTCCCATTTGTTTTCTTTGACCAAGGAGATATATAAGAAAAAAAATTGCTAAGATAATTTTACTGCATATAATTTTTTTCTAGAAGTGTTATGGTTTCAAGTCTTCCATTTTAAGTATATAATACATTATGAGTTTATTCTTGCATATGGTGCCAGATGGTAGACTAGTTTAATTTTTTGCATTTATCTGTTCAATTTTCCCAGCACCACTTATTGAATAAATTCTCTTTACCCCATTGTATGTTCTTGTCTCTCTTGTCATATATTAATTGACCATATAGGCATAGGTATAGTTATGGGCTCTCTGTTCTGTTTCATTGATGCATGTATCTATTTTTATACCAGCACCATGCTGGTATAGCCTTGTAGCATAGTTTGATATTAGGTAGTGTGATCCTTCTAACTTTGTTATCCTTTCTCAAGATTACTATGGCCATTCAGGGTCTATTGTGGTTCCATACAAACTTTTGGATTGTTTTATTTCTGTGAAAAACACCATTGGTGTTTTGATAGGAGTTGTGTTGAATCTGTAGATTGTTTTGGGTAGTATGAACATTTTAACTCTGTTGCATATGCTTCCATTTATTTGTCTCTTCCATTTCTTTCTTCAATGTCTTATAACTTTCTGAGTACAAGTTTTTTACACCCTCACTTAGATTTCTTTCTGTCTTTTTTATGCAATTGTAAATGAGATTGTTCTTAGTTTCTCTTTCTTTTAATTTATTATTGGTTTACAAAAATGCAA